AACAATGCAAATGATGATATAAATTAGAATTTCAATACAATGTTATGAGAAAGAAGAGATGAGTGAGATGATATTGAATAAAAGAGAATGATGAAATTTAAATATAAAATTATTCATAAAATTAAATTGTATTTACTTCAGAAATAATAACACAATAACATGTTTAATATTTAAATTAAATGAGTACCAATATTTATATGAAAATACTCATGGACATTATATAAAAATATTCATTTCACTTTTATAATAATCACATGTTCATTAATTGTTTACATCATATTCAATACAATATTTATTATTTTATTATTTAATTGATATAATAACAACAATGATAAGTGTTAATAATATAATAAAACAAATATGAAGTGATTATAAATAAAAAGAATAAATACTAACAGATATAAATACAGAGAATATAAGTAATGGTAAATGAATCATTTCATGATTTTATTAATCATTTACAAATGAATTAATATCATAACTAACATCTATTAACAATATATGATATTAAAATATTTCATATTTATAATAATTAATGATTAGTATATCTCAATTTAAATATATTTTATCATTCATCAATCAATATGTCTCATTATTGAAGTTACAATTTATTATTTTAAATATTCATTTGAATTCTCTTTCATTATTTCCATTGTTTCTTTTATTTCTTATTTGTTTTTATCTATTTCTATATCCATTAATCAATATGTATTTTTATGACATTTATGACATGATTGTATTTATTCTATCAAATGAAATAGAATAAAATAATGATGAGATAAATCATACCAATATTCATTAAAGTATTATATGAATATCAAATGTGATGTTATATAATAATTAATCAATTTTCAATACAGATAATGTACTCCCATCATTCTTCTAACATTTGTACTTCTTATTTGATAATATTTATCATTCATTTATCATGTATCAGTTATATTTTGTTGTTTCTTTTCTATCTTATGATAAAAAATAAGAATGATAAGAATATGAACAAATAACAATGAAAGAAGTGAATAAAAAAAGAAATATGAAATTACATAAGAATTAAACAATAAATTAACTGAATAATAATCTCATTTTAACTAAATAACAATCATTACATTAATTTAATGAATAAAATGAAATGATGTTAAATAAAATGATAAATAATAAATAAATGATGTGTTATAAATGTGTATTTAATTATTTAATCATCTGATTTTGATCTGGTATTCATTAAATTAAAATGGAAGAGTTAATAAACAAGAACACTCATTTCTTTAAAGAAGAAATAGAAACAATTCCAAATATTCAACAATCAATTGATGATATTAATAAACATTATCATTGTTATTTAGGAAGTATTAAAAATGAAATATTTGAAATAAAACCAGATGAAACATATTCAGAAGCTATTAAAAGAGGAGAAGGAATATTTG